TAAATATGAACTTTCATAATCAAACTTTCATATCATGTACGAGGGCTGTTCGGAATTATTGAGACAATTACATTTACTCAATAAAGGACGGAGATAATTTCAAGAAAATTCATCAACATTTTATAAAGAACTAATAAAACACTTATGAAAAATTTCTAATTCCTGGGATAATTAGATAAATTTTGGTGAAATGATAAACTTGCATATGTCCATCGACCCGGAGCAGCATCGCTACGTCATTTAACGTCACGTCAGCCGGAGACAGTTTCGCATGTGAAACGATCGGGAAGCGTTTAATACTCTTCCTTCTTTGTTATTAATATCTATAACATTACAAAAATCAAACAATCTCTTTTCTTTCAGTATTCTTTAAAAATGTATGCTGTTGCTACCCCTGTGTAAAATTTTCATATTGGGGAAAGGATGACTTAGAATCATGCAGTGCCGATTTATGCAACGCGGATCAACGATATTAATACCGTACGTAATAACTCATGGTTGTCCAGAGCTTTTAATTTTACTAAGGTTGAATTAATTGTAAAAAGAAAAAAATACCAATAAAATAACAATACATAACACATTATTTATTTAATTGTTATTGTTTTAACAGGTCATTCAGTCTAGAAAGAGTTCTACATTGTGTTACACAAAATTTTAGGTATGCTGGCTGCTCCGACCATGACGTCAAAATCCATTTTGTCGTTATTAGCAGATTTTCTACCGCGCTTAATTGTTTTATGATCTCCGTATTTCTGATTGAAGATTTATCAAAGTTCCAAAAGATGAATGTGAAATAAAGCCTAAAAATGATACACATAAAACGAATTATTTCCGCTCTTATTATGGGTACACGAAGAGTTAAAACGTTGGTGTTTCATATTTCCAATATCTGATTTCATGACTGCTCCGGGTACCCCTACTATTGACCCATTTATATACCATTGTAGAGAAAATATCTAATATTTGTAAAATATGTCTTGCTTTTATTAATTCTTAGAGTGTGTCAAACCTGTATGCAAATTTTCACCGAAAGACGTTCATTAGAAAGCAAAATATACAAACTGTCTCAATAATTTTCAACAGCCCTCGTATACTGTATTTATTATAGGATGTTGACAGTTAGCAGAATTAATTCCAAAAACAGTCATTCCTTAATTTTATCATATTTGAATTTCCTGAAAGTATCATTTCAAGTTCATTTTGATAGGTCAAATTACCTGAAACTCCCTCCTGAGATCAGTCTGATTGGCTGGTTTATCACTCTTCATTGATTCCGCTTTCCTGATAAAGTCTGATTTCTTCAGGACAGAGGGACACGCCTTAAACATGTAATTGAGAGCCAGAAATATGGTTATATATTGTTCCTGCAAAAAATGTTTTGGGAATAAATTAAAAATCATGGCACAATTAAAAATAACATTCCACATGTACTCATCTTTTGACATTTCAAGAAATTGAAGTTTACTTGATTTGAGTAAAGCAGACTGTATTGGACAACATATACTAAGCAAATTATACTTTTCCAAGGATTTTCAAATCATGAAACACATTGAGATAACAAAGAGTTTTCAAGATGGATATGGAGATAACGAACAGTATTCAATATCAAAAACCTATAAAAAAAATTACAAAATAGGAGCAGAACAAACTCGGACCACCAAAACATCAGATGTGGGATCAAGTGCCATGGAGGAGTGAGCATCCCCTGCCGACCGGTCACACCCGCCGTGTGCTCTTTGTCATGATTGAGAAATAACGGAAAAATCTGTCGTCAATTCAGTGTATAAATAATGAACTAAAATGGGTATGAAAAACCTTATGGAACACATGATAGAAGGTCGAAAACGCATGCATATATATTTGCGTTTGGTACATAAAAGCAGTTCTAGTCTTACAATGTTAACATAATAAAGTACATGTAATTCAATTACTTTTACATTACGTACGTAAGTTTGGACCATATTCATCCTGTTTTCCCTCATTCTCTTGACGTATTCCGCGATGTTGATTTTCCTCTCTGTTTTACCTGTCTTATAAAGGGCGTCTATAGCTAGGTATGTCCCAGTGCGACCTATCCCCGCGCTACAAATAAAAACATTCCTCCTTATTTTAAAGTCATAAATGCTAATCCAATTCAGAAATTGACGGTGTTGTTTTGTTATTTGTTTGCTTCATATTCCTGAAAGTTTTTAGTAATGTTTGGATGGTATAATGGAATGCTACATATTCACCAATTGCAATCACTGAGCAGGATGTTGTTTGATTTTTTTTTACTGATATAATCGATCTTGATATTAATAGTCCTTCAAAAACAACCAAGGACTCGCAATAGGAATCATACCCATGACATATAAATCAAATGCTTATTTTACGATTCTACTAGATGTGATAACTTTTCTCTAATCACTACACTTTTCGGTTTTTTTTTACAAACAAGATTCATTTTTTTGTAAAATATATCTTGATAAATATTATGATAAATTGAAGCCAATCTAAACAATATCCACTGTCATTTGAACATGCAGATTCCAGATTTTCCAATGCTACAAAGCCATACCTGCAGTGAACTAATACTGGAGAATGATTTTGTTTATTTCTTGTCCTGGTCACGTGATCATGGAAAACTACAAGGCAGAGCGGTTCGGGTACCCCGTGATCCGGCCAGGCAGTATAGTGGTACTGAGTTACAAAACTTGTCTTCTTTAATAGCAAAAAACAATCAGATAACACGAGAAAGTCAAAAGTGTTAGCTGTTTGTAAATCAATATTAAAACATACCTTTTACTTTTCTCTCAGACATTCCCATAATATTACAAATACATTTAAACTATAACAATTTTTCTGACAAGGTGCTAAATTTACAAATAATTACACTCTTAAAATAAGCTGTTCAATCAGCTGTTGGGATAGTTTTGATAAGACTTACATTTTTATGAGTAACTTTTAATCTTCTGATGACATAAAATGCGTAGATCTTCTCTTCCTTATTACATATGGAAAACTCGCCTGAGGAAAGAACCTTGTTCAGTTCTGGCCAATATTGCACACACTTAGTCTGAAGACAAGTAATGCGGCTAAATATATAAGTGCAGCTTAAAACTACCCTACTGTATTATTCATAGAGAGAATATATAATTTAGGCTCCTGAATATAGTAAAAAATTTTATATGTCATTTGAAGAGTTTGATACATTTTTTTTTTAAATTAAGTAATTGCAAAATGTAAACCATGTTTCAAAGAAAAATATTAATATATCAATATCAATATTTCGATACCCTTTTTTCAAAGTTAGTAATTGCAACAAATACACCATGTTTCAAAGGCCTCAAAAAATTTTCTTTCAGAATTAACATGAGTACCTTGTTTCCTTCTTTGAGGTTGGTCAGCATAACGATTTGTGACACGTTCTCCTGCCATATCATTGCCCAGAAGTCTGTCAGTGTGCTCTGTTTAGGACCTGTGTAAAGAAAAGAGATAGCGATAGGTATCTACATCACATTAACTGCTTCGTGGCACCTGATCCCATCCCTGAAGTGTCGGAGGTCCAATATTGCTTTGCTCCTGATTCATGTATTTAAAATACACTTCTGAGCTTGAATAAAGGATGTGGAGTTAACAAACAGTATTCCATCTCAAAGTCCATAAAACAATACAAATTAAGAGCAGAACAAACACGGACCTCTGAAAAATCAGAGGTGGGATCAGGTACCATGGAGGAGTGAGCATCTCCTGCCAAACGGTCACACCCGCCATGTGTCCCTTGTCATTATTGGGAAATAACGGAAAAATACGTCGTCAATTCCGTGTTTATCTAATGGACTAACAATTAGTAAGAAAAATGTCAGTAAGCTTATGACGTCATGGTACATGTAAATTGTATTAGCTGTCAAGGTCATTGTAACGACAAAGAACTAACGGAAGGATGACATTAAACGAGACTGTTGATATTCTTGTTTCATCAACTTGCTTGTCAAAATTTACCTCGTTTTAGAAATTGTTCATGCGTAGAACATGCTCTTGCGTATATTGTTCGTCATCTCCGTACATTTCATCAAGTGCATTATGTTTACATTGGTAGCAAATGTTGTTATAGTCAAATCCCTCCGATATTGATGTGTAACATGTCTGTGTAAATTTTACTTTATTACAACATCCTTGTACCAAAAGAAGTGAATTGATTTGAAATAACGCTTGTTATGACACTGAACATTCACTTGCTAATACTTTTTAAAGACAGAATATACAAACAGACTTTGGTCAAAAATTTTGAAAATAACAACATAAATCATGTTTTAATGTACAAAATGAATACGTTTCACCGCGTAGTTTTTAATTTTCTATTCAAATATGCACAAAGTGATAAATATTTGTAAAAAATAATAAGGATGGTTTCAGAAGGGTAGAGATTGAACGTCACCGAAAGTTAACAATTTCTTCGCAGTACAGTTAAGGCAACACATGAAAAAAAATATGGTAATGAGGTCATAATGAGGTCTGACGTCATGACAGTTGCTCCGCCCTGATTGATCCATATAAGGAAATAGTGCTCAAAATAACTATTTACCGATATTTGCAAGACTTTGTAATAAACAGCAATATTTTCATGTTTAAATGGAAAATTATTAGTGATTTTCTCGTATATAAAATAGCATGTCTTTAAAATAATTAGCCCCTTCACGGTAACTGCGGTACTACTCTTCTGCAGGGCAAAATAATAACGTTTGGCGAAGTTTTTGTCGAGAAATAATTAAATGACGTATATTAAACAATTACTTTTACATCATATATATCATTTTGCCCTGCAAAAGAGCAGTACCGCAGTTACCGTGAAACGGACTATTCGCTTTTTAATGTGTAGTTTGTCTGCATTCGGCTTCAGGCAAGCGCTTGCACTCGGTGACACGGAATGTTGTATACATCTAAAAAGCGTGGCGACATCGGCTGAGGTTTGCAGTGGATTTAAATGCAAAAACCACACAATCTTTAAAGAAATTAGGAATAAAATAAGAGACAAGGCATTGCTTCTCCCTTTTATGAGAATACGAGGACATTATTCCGGAAAATATCGGAAAACTGAGACGATTTGCACCAGCTCCGTAGATCCATCACTGCAATATTCCAGGCCGGGTATGTATGCACATATGTTGGTACATATATGTATACATGCTTTTATCAACATCAAAGAAAAACCCCGAGTGTGTGCATGTTCATTTAGATGTATTATTTATCACAGTCAGTGAAAAATTGTTATGCATTGCCTTGTGTGTACCCCCCTCCCTATACTAAGTTGCACACTTTCTAGAATTATTAAAATTTAACTGCACTAAAGATGTACTGAGTTCTTGTCTATAAGCTCATTTTCTTTGAGACAATATGTGTAGGAATGGATCCGGAGGTCATCAATAACACAAATTTAAACTAAATTAAATGAGATGTTTTCATTGTTTCAGTCAATGATTCACTTATGACTAGGCCTAAACAAGCAATGATCATGTATTTTGACATACAAACATACTGCACATGCATTTAAAAAAATTAACAGTATCATTATGTTGAAAACATAGAACCTCAACTTCAGATCTTTGGTTGTAATTTTCTATAATTTCTAAATTAATGGGAAAAAATCATTTTTTTTTTAGTTAGATTACATGTACATTAAAAATATTTGTGTAATACTTTTATCATTGTAGCTGTCCAGAGTTTCAGACTTAAAGAACATGAAGAATGAATAAATAAAAAATGCATCATTTCTCCATGGGTATGTATACTTCTAAAGCATTTCTGAATCACATTTTTAAAGTATGCATGTGCTATATAATTTTTATTTTCATTTTGGTAAAGGTGAAACTCAGAATTTTGTTTAGAAAATATTCTATCAATAACTGTTGTAAATGTCAGAGGTTTCACTTTCCCAGAGAAGTTTTGTAACACAATTTTTTTGCCATTTATATGAATAACATAAATTCACTACAGTAACTGTATACAATGTAGCATAATTTGTTTTGTCAAATGTAATGCCATTTTATTCTACAATGTATATTTAGTAATCTCATAGCTTTTAACTGCATATATATTGTGTTGTAGGCCTAGCTATTCCCAAATGTTGGACTAATGGAATCATTAAGGAAAATGGTATGCTCAATATTAGCTATAAACCATACAATATTCCTGGCAAGATTATTGAATTGTTTTGATAATAATTAAAAACTAACAGAAGAATTGAAAACATGTATATTGCATTCTATGTTAAATGTTTCAATGCATTTTTTTTTATTTAACTTTTTTAAACACAAATTACTTTCAATAATAGTATTTTCTGATTTTCTCATATTTCAGAATTCATTTTATCCACAAGAACATGAAGTGATGGAAATAATTTGCACCTGCCCAGCATTCCTACAGTCTGTCATTTGATTTGTAAAGAAATATTTATTAAATAAATTTTCTAGATAAATAATAATTTGACCTTTTCATATATTTACTGTACAGGTGTTGAAAAGGCCATTAAGATTTGAAAATCTTAACTTGCATACATATTTTGTGAGGAGGGTACTGATGTCCATCAAGATCTTATTTCCAGCATGTACATTGTGTTCATTTATTTTTCAATAATATTACCAAAAACAGGAGACAAGAGACACCCACCCCCCCCCCCCACCCCAATTGATTCAAAATAGGATAGGGGACCATCATTTGATTCTGAGGGAAGGGGGTGGCAAGTTTTTCCAAGTCAGATTTTTTTAATTTTCATGTCGATGAAGGACAGATTAATATTTATTTCCGATCAATAAGAGGAAGGACAGATTATTTATTTATTTTCCTCTTCATTGAAAAGTCTAACAAGCAAAGAAAAAATTTTAAAACTGTGATTCGTGGGAGGGAGAGATCACTCATCTGCACGTATTTATTTCTAAAATCTGCCAGCCCCTCTCCCTCATGATCTTGTATGCAGAAAGAAAAGAAAAATTATTAACACAAGTATGTGTACCATAGGCGTCGAAAGCGAAATAAAAGGGGGGCTATTTGAAAGGGGGGCCTAGACCAACAGAAAAATGTTAATTTCAATGCCTACATTATGTATATAATTTGCAAATAAGTAGGGAGGCTAAGCCCCCCCCCCCCTCTGATTCCGACGCCTATGCGTACAGTAGTGAGAGAGGGGTACAGATATCTTATTAATTTATTATTAATGGAGGAGGCTATATTTTAATTAAACATTTCTGTTCTACATGAATATAGCGGCAATATTTAGACCTATGTGTGTGTAATACTGCATGTCATGTATACACCTCTTTGAGGAAATACGGGAGGTTTGAAAGACGTCTTTTAGCATACAGTAAATGTCTACAATGTATCGAGAACGAATACACAAAATAGAAAGAAATGTTAAGGATTTTATGCACACCGTTTTGATTTAGTAAAAAAAAATCCAGCCCTGTCCGCATGTATATTTACAGTATTAAAATTTACGAGGTAAACAAACTATATCAAGTTCTCAAGAGTTATCTCCCATGCTGGGTCAATGATGCGTTTGAAAACTATAATTAGATCGACTCTTTCAAGATTTCAATTTTTAATCAAAAAGTGCAAGGGCAAGGCGACAATTTAAAAAGTAGGTTTTTATTTTAAATTATTTATTTTATTGTATAGTTTTCAAAAAGTGATGCTCATTCCTTTGTAATCCTTTAGTTAATTTATAATTCACGATGAAATTAGGAAAATATCCTATTTTTTATACAATACTGTCTGTTTTAGCTGAATAACTTAATTATATCGGAAAAATAACTGAATGAGCATCACTTTTGAGAAAGTATAGATACATAGGGACAACATAAAACATTGTGCAGTTAATTTTTTGTTTGTCTTGCCCTTGCACTTTTTGGTTAAATTTGACATCTCATTTTTTGACCTAAAATCGGAGCCCAGGTGACTTCAGGGAGTCACATGATGCCAAAAAATACCGATGTGAAAAGCCATGGACCTACTCTTCAAGATAACAAATAGCTTTTTTAACTAGAGTGTCTTGCTAAAAAATAAAACTGTTAAACATAAAATGTATCGGATTCCGTGAGTTTTTATAGAAAATGTTACCTTAACTGTACTGCGTTAATATTTTAGAAATTTATCATTTGCATTATTTACAATGAAATTAGGTTAAAAAAAAATATATACCAATCCAGGCATCCATTTTTTGTTTGTATCATCTGTCCTTAAAGCTTAAAAAATTAAAATCATATCAAAGATTTTATATAAGAAAAAAACCTATATATTCACCTTGAGATGCTATATATTCCATTTCTTTTTCAATTCCCTGAAAAATATTTAATTTTTTAAATTTGAATGAGAGGAAAAAGTTTGTCATCTCCTACGATGAAAAATTATATATATATATATATATATATATATATATATATATATATATATATATATATATATATATATATATATATATATATATGTCTTTTTCTTTAAAATGGATTAAATAGTTGCTTATTAACTTGTTACTAGCCCATCTTATAAATATTGTTTGGTTGCCCTCTCAAAATCAACTAATGAAAAATGGTCCGACTCATTTTTTTCATTCCAGGACACATTATTATACTTTTTATTCCTCCTATTCTAATTTATTTATTTAAATATTTAGAAAAAAGATTTTTTTCAACCTACCCAAGGACCCAATAATTT